GGCAGGCGCTCACAGGGCTGCGCGGGTAGCGGGAGCCCCGGAGCCCCGGCGGCCTGTGCGCCCGGAGCCGGCATGGACCCCGAGAGCTGCGCGCCTTTCTCCGTGGGGCCGGCGGCCGGCCCCTACGCGGCCTCTGGGGACGAGCCGCCAGGCCCCCAGGGGACCCCCGACGCTGCGCCCCACCTGCACCCGGTGCCACCCCGCGGCCCGAGGCTGAGCCGCTTCCCGGCTTGCGGGCCCCTGGAACCCTACCTCCCAGAGCCCGCCAAGCCGCCCGCCGAGTACCTGCAGGACCTCGGGGCCGGCCCGGTGCCCAACGGCGGCCACTTCTACGAGGGCCCCGCGGAAGGTAACGCTCGGCGGGACCCCCTGGCGTTCCCTTCCCCGGTCCCCTCTGGGCTTCCCGACTCCCTCTCCCCGCTCGCCTTCTTCTCTACCTCGAGCCCCGTCTCGCATTTCCCAGGGTTCCCTCGCTCGATGATCGCCGCTGGCCTGGGCAGGCAAGGCCAGAGCACTGGGGACGGCAGGACCGCCTGGGGCCCGGGCGGCGAAGGCAACGGGAGGCGGGAGGTCAGAGGAGGGTGGAGTGGCGAACATCCTGGACCCTTGGCGGCCCGGGAGGTGACCGAACCTGGAAGGAGAGATCATGCACCTCTGGGCCCGGGCCTCTGCTGCCGCCGAATCCCTATTGGGGACTGGGTCGAGGGCCCAGGAGCCGAACTGGGCCCCGGGGCTGGAAGAGAGGAGCTCGGCTTTTGTATCAGGCGCCATGGAGAGGGTGAAGGCTGGGCCTCGACCAAGCCGGACTCGGAGAAGGGCTGCGGGCCTGGGCTTACCCAGCTCTCCTCGCCTGGGCCAGCCTCTGCAGGAGAGGGTGCTTCTGGCGCCGTTGGACGTGCCGCAGGGTGGCGGTGGCCGGTCCCCCTCGGTACCCGGGGGACCGTGGTCAAGATCGAGTAATTACGCTTCTTGTTTCTCAGACTAACTTGGCCTCCCCGTCACGGGGCGGGGGGGATGGCTGCCTTCCTTGCAGTTGGCATCTGGGCATCGAATCGTCCCAGGCCGAGCGCGTCGGAAGCAGCCCTGGACAGTCCTAGACCCCGGGGCGCCTCCCGCATTGGGGACAGCGCCCCTCGTGCGCTAAGCAGGCTCGGGCCCTTACCGTTCGTTACCTAAAACTGCGCCTGGCTGACCTGCCGCCCACTGTACCCCCTGACCCCCGAGCGTCCCAGCGCCCACGCCCACCCCTCGTACACCCGCCGCATCTCGCAGCCTCGAACCAGAGCCGGATTCCGGGAGGTCCGCCCGGGCGGCGATCGCCGGCTCCCCGAGTGCCTCCTTGGGGCGGCTGGACGGCGAGCAGCTCCGGGGACCTTCGTCCGGCCCGGGTGGTGGGGAGCGCGGGGGAGGCCCCGGGAGGTGTGTTGGGGGTCATCGGAGGAAATGAGCAAGTCCGCGGAGCTTCGCTTCTGCCGCCCTTTGAAAAGAGGCTCTCCTGATAAAAACCACAGTTGGGGACTTAATGAGAAGCAGTTGGCCCGGCTCCTCTGATCCCTGCCAGACGGCGGCAGCCCGCGCAGCGCCCAGAGCACCGCCGGGGACAGGTACCCGCCCGGCTCGGCGGCGCACGCGGGCGGCAGCACCCAGCCCGGGCTCCGACGTCCCCGCCGCTGCGCACCGCCCCCGCAGCTGCTCGCCGATCGGGTTCTCGGACAGCCGCGGGGTCTGGGCGCACGAGGAGCATCGGCGGGACTGAACGGGAGGGAGGCGAGTCTGTCCTCACAATGAAGCGGCCGGCGAGAGAGAGTGCAACGGCGAAAGCGGCAAGCCGAAGGGAGAGGGAGAAACCGAACGTTGGACACAAACAACGGGTTGGGGTCTCCAGAACAAAGGTGACGGGAGAGGTCCGTCGGCGCGGTGGGCAGAGGAACGAAAGGGAGGAGATGGACGAAAGAAAAAGAGCGAACGGCAGATCGAACGAAGCGGGTAAACCGGAAAGAAAAAGATAAGAGAGACAGACGGGGGGGAGAGAGAAAGAGAAAGAGAGAGAAGAAGAAAAAAAGAAAGAAAAAGGATATTTCCTAAAGAGACAGAGCACACTAAAATATGAGCAAGTTGGATATGAAAAGTAATGGTTCAGACCATGTGGGGACGGGCCAAAGGCGAAGGAGGCACGACCGAGCTAGCTCGAGCCTGGGCTGGGCTCCTGGCTGCCGCTCCCTCTCGATGCCGATGCCGGGTTGGAGTTCCTCTATCTTAATCTCATCGCTGCATGGTGGGGAGTTCTTAGTGAAGGTAACACCATCCACCCCGCGCGCACACACACCTTCCGAGGTCTCTGCCTTTAGAGTATCGGTCTCTCAGCGTTGGCTGGCTTTGCTGTAGCCTGGGGCACGCAGCGTCTCTCTCTCCGGGCGCCTACAGCCCCAGCCCGCGTCGGCTGCCCCTGGCCGCACGTTGGGGAGGGCGCCTCGCTCTTCTCCCCAAGTGGGCCTTGTTTGGTCCTTTCCAGTCATCCACGCACCCGCCCCGGGGAGTAACTGCGTGGGCAGGGGTAGTTTCTTCCGGCTCCTCCAGGGCTGCCAGTTTGTCCCTAAGCTGGCTCTCGGACCAGGGAAGGAGAAAACTCCTACTGGAGTTCCACCTACCTTCCTCCGTGGAGATCCACAGCCCTAAGACCCGGCCGACCCGGGAGAAGTTAAGCCCTTGGCTAAGAACCTCTAAGAACACCATCTCCTCCCTGGCCCTGGCGCTTATCATGGATTTCAGATCTTCCGCTGAAGCCAAAGCCGCGGTCCCAGCCGAGGAAACCCAGATTTCAGAGACTGCTGCGTTTAGCGACCCCAGCACAAGGACGACAGAAAACAGGCACCTTAGAGCGAGAGGGCCTTGAAAGCTGAAACACGGGTGGCTGGCTGATTCCCGGACACTAATGGATGCCACGGATCTGAACTTCGGAGCAGCCAGGAGCAGTGCTACTCAGGGATGCACAGGTTTAAAGGCCAGGTCGGAGATCGAGAACCCCGAGCCCTGTTGGCACATTAAGGTCCCTGACCATGCACCTGGTTCTTAGTCCTACAAAGTGTTATATATAGCATTCCTGCTGTTGAAAAGGCTCAGGACGTTCCCTACCCTTAACTTCAGGCTCCCAGGGACCAAGAGTATTCTCTCTAGACGCCTCCCCCGACCCCCGTATGCTGTAGTAACTGACAATAGTTCAAACCTCAAATGGGCCCTCCTTAACAGAACAACCTTCTCCCGACATCTTAAATTTAGGCTTCTGGCTTCCACTCCTGGATTCCTTTCCATGATGTCTACACTCCATTTCTCCCGTTTCTGTCTCCGCTCTCCCAGGGGGCTGCTTGGGAATGTCTGAAAAGTAGCCCTGTCCCTGGAGTCCTCCAGCCAGAGCAGGGAGGTTTTAGGGAAACAGTAATGAAGAGAAAAGCAGCTATCTGTCCCTTGGAGAGGACTGTGGAGGAGGCAAACTTGAGGAGCAGAAGCCAGCAGGTTTAGCTGCTTTTGGCTGCTGAGGTGTGTTCTGATCTCGGCTGATGGGCTCAAGGTCAGGGAAAGCAAGTGGCTGGGCCCTAGATCAGCATGTTTCCTCTTGAGGGAATGACACTGAGGGTAAAGAAGCAGAATATAAGGCCCTTGACTTTGAGGAGCTCTCTGTAGTGGGGTTAGTACCCCTAAGTCCCTGCCCTGAGTTCATCTCATCCATTTTCTGCCTGAAGTCCATCTCCATCTCCCTGAGAACCCAAGACACCAAGGCTCTTCCCTGCCAGGCCATTTTGAGGGTCTGGTATCTCTAGGATGACCCATGCCAACCTCCCTGCTCTCTCTGAAATGTATTTTATTACTTGGTTTGACTTCTTTGATTCCTCTGTCCTAACAAACACTACTACCTCTCCAGCCAAAATGTGATGATGGAGAACAGAATGTAAGGACCGCAGTGAGTTCCTCCCCGAGCTGCCCGTGGGACACTATTGCTACAGGCTGGGTGTAGCCAGAGGCCAGGCCTTGTCAGACTGTTCCTGGGTCTTCAGGACACACACCACATCAGAAGCTTATTTCACAGCCTGGGTGGCCCAGAGAGGTCACTTGTCCAGCTGAAAAGGACTACCATCTTGCCCTCCAGACAAGGACTTATCTGACTTGGTGTACCCCTCCACACACAGAGCTGTGATCTTGACATTAAGTCCCAAGGAGGAAACTGCTTCTTGGTGCCAGCTAGCTAGGCCTCCTGAGGGTCAGGCCCCCATTGGAGATGGGCCTGGGGCCAAAGAAGGGGCCCTCTGAGTCAGCAGGCGTCTTTGTGTCTTTGTGGCATAGTGGCTTCCATCCCAGCAGACTGTGAGGGAGGGACTTTATGGGGACACTGCTGGGGGTCCTTTTTAGAAGGGAAGGGTGGAGGATGATCATGACCTATTTTTCACCATACCGGGTCAGTCATATGGGGCTCCTGAGGGACAGCATAGCAGGGTAAGACTGCTGGGAACTGTTCCCAGTCTGCTATGGAGCCCTCCCTGACTGTTAGTGGAGGTGATGAGGAAACTCCTGAGGTGGGAAGGGCAGACAATGCTGAGGATAATGGGGAAAGGGAGTTGCTGGTCCCTCATAATTCCTCCAAAGCACAGCCTGTCTGGCTTCTACCTTTCTATGCTGGAATCTGAGTTCTCATCCAGACATCCTGACTTTAGGATGAATGAAGACAGGTGATTCCTTATGGATCATCGTTGTCCTGGCTTGCTCTTCATGCCTCAGAGTTGGGAAAGTTAATATTAATGTGTGACATGGACTTCAAAGAATGAGGCACAGGGAAACCAGCCAAAGGTGGTCTGTGCATCTCTCACCATGCCTGCCTGGCTCTGCTACCAGAGGCATGAGCTTGAGGGCCTGGGAACCAAGGCCAGCACAAGCAGAACAAGGGAGCACTCTAGAAGGGTGGGAGATGTCAACCACTCCATCCTTAGCCCCTGCCCCCACTCTTGGCCCCGCCAGGGTGGCAGTGCCTGCTGTGGCGCCAATCCTGGCACCTCCACATGCTGTGGGACACACTACCACAGAGCACTTCCCTGAAATGAACCCCTCTCTGGCCTCAACAGTTCTGCCCAGACCACAGAGCACATGGTTCCCTAGGGCCCCCTCCCCAGCTGGAGGCTCAGCAGTCAAGTCTCTGAATGCCAGGCTCCCAGGGAGGGTGGCTGCCAAGAGGAAGGGAAGGGAAGGGAAGGAGGAGGAGGCGGAGACTGAAGTGTCAATGCTCTTTCCCTCCCTCTGTCCCACCCACAAAAACCCCTGTTAGGTTTCCATCCTCCTTTTTGTGTTTTCCATTGCAGCTGAGGAGAAGGCCTCCAAAGCTGCCAGCTTCCCCCAGTTGCCGGTGGACTGCCGAGGGGGTCCCAGAGACGGGCCCTCTAATGTGCAAGGTTCCCCAGGCCCCTGCCTGGCCAGCCTGCGTGTCCCTCTTTCCCCGGGACTCCCTGACTCCATGGAGTTGGCCAAGAGCAAGAGCAAGAAACGCCGGAACCGCACGACCTTCAGCACGTTCCAGCTGGAAGAACTGGAGAAGGTCTTCCAGAAGACCCACTACCCTGATGTGTATGCTAGGGAGCAACTGGCTCTGCGGACGGACCTGACAGAGGCCAGGGTACAGGTGAGGGCACGGTGGGCACCACAGTCTCTGACCGCCACGGCCACCGAGGCCGTGGACCAGTGGACCAGATCAAGGAAGAGCTAGGAGAGGTGGGAACTAGTGTCACACAGAACTGCCTTGCCCCGGTCTTGCTGGAGCCTGGACTTTTGGAGCTCAGCCTTCACACTCAGCTCTTCCATGGCCACAGACTTTTCTGTATTTCTAGCAAAATATGTCATTCGGGTCAAGGCTTAGGCACAGGCTTGCAGGTAATGGCCTCTAGGAGTCCAAATATCTGTATGGGAGTCTGCTACTATTTACTAGCTAGCCGGGTGATTTGATACTTGTCTCCCAATGTGTTTCCGTTGCCTGCTTTTGAAAAGGAGTACTCAGTAGCAAGCCAGAGAATCTTTGAAGGTCACCAGTTTGGGCAGCATTTAGGAAGAAGTGAACGATGAACATGCTACTACTAAGGTGGCTGGCCAGATTGGAGGTAGGGGTCACTGAAGGGCATGTGAGGCTCTTCATGAGCCAACAACCAGCTCCTAGTTCGAAGAACTTGACCGGGAACCTTCCCTTACTCCAACAGACCCTTCTGTGCAGAGGCCAACTCTAAAGGCCTTTGGCTATGATCACTACTTCACATAGTGGGGAACCCAGCCAGTGGGGAAGGGAGAGAGAAGGTGGATGCTGGGAAAGAAAGAAGGAAAGCTATACCAAACCTTGTTAGAGGTGATGGAGAATACGAAGGTGGCAAGCAGGACTGGGATGGAGAGGATCTGTGTTAAGAGTCTGGCTCAAGAGAAAGATTGATCACTTGTGGCCTTGCTTTGATCCACAGTTTAGTCAGAAGAGGCTCCCCAGTGGCAGAGGAGGAGTCACTGGAAGGAGTGTTGTGGGGAGAGTAGGGAAGGGTTCTGGAGAAGGGTGACGTTGCTGCCTTGGCAGAGGAATCTGCTGCTCTTACCATGAGGGAAGAGGAGTGGTGAGGCTCCTGTCAATCACTCCCTAATAGGGCCCTTCCAGAGACTCCTAAGAAGATGCTAGGGTGGAGGCCAACTCTAGCAGACTCAGGGACCCACAGGCCAGTCTACTGAAGCCCAGCACCATCAATCAAAGCAGGCCTGACAGCCAGATACAAAATAGGACCAGAAGAACTCAGGCTGTTTCCTCTCCTCTGCTGTGTCCACCTGTTTTCTGTTCCATCTAGGTGACAGTTAAAACTCGTTTCTGTGACTGTCCGCCAGGGTTCTCTAAGCTATGGGAACAACCCCAGATTTTATAAGTCAAGGGATCCAGAACAGGGAGTCTCCGGAATGTTATGTTGGGGCAGTATCTGAATTACTCTTCACTGTGGAAATGTATGGGGTGGGGGCTGGTGGGGGGCTCGCTTCCCTCACTCTTCTTCTAAACCCATCTCTTTCCCCTTTCCTTTTTAATTTTATTTTCATTTTTGAGGGGTTATTTTGGAAACGGGGTTTCATTCTCTCTAGAACCTAGGCCACTTCAGGATTCATCTCTCAGCCCAGGCTGGCTTCAAACTAAAGATCCTCTTACCTCAGCCTCCTGAGTGCTGGCATGAACACACATTATAGGCATTAGCCACAGGGCCCAGCTCCTAGGCCTTTTCAACCCTGGAAGAATACAGGAACAGTCATGGGACTCCCAAACACAGTCCAGAACCCTCCCCAAACACCAAGGCCCTAGAGAGTAGGGAGGGTTTTCTCTGACAGGAGCATGACACTCACAATAAACTCCACCCCATGAAGAGGGCTAATTAAGACCACACATGGGACAATGAAGAGGGTAAGCCCAAAGCACAGGCAGAGGCCCACAATGGAGAATAAAAGCCTAACTTCCTGAAGAGGAGGGAGAGGGGAGAGAAGACATGCAGGCTGCTGGCCATTCAGGGTGGACTTTCTTGACCTTGGCCAGGCCTGCCTTGGTATCCCAAAAAAACAGAATGCTAGAAAAATAGGGGAATACATACCCTCTTAGCTCCCAAGCCTATGTGAGTAGAGGTGAGCATGGAGAAAGGAATAAATGAAGGCTGGGGGTGTTCTCATCCCAAACAGGGCAGTGAGATTTTACACACATATAAACACAGACACAGCTTTTTCTACTTTTTATTTCTAGCTGGATCCCTAGAAAACAGTGGCTGGTTTGTACATGGGTTTGGCTTTGGTTTTGGGTTTGGGCAGGGTTATGTTTGTCTTAGGTTAGCTTCAGACTCAAAATGTGGCTGAAGCTGGCCTTGAACACCTAATCCTTTAGCTTCCACTTCCCATGTCTGGGATTACAGACATGCATCATTCCACCCACCTTGGTTTGGTTTTGATATTACCAACATCTGACACAATATTTACTAAATGAAAGAAATAAAACCATATATGCCAATACAAATAAATGAAACAGGATAGGACATATGCCAAAATCATCATGTAAATGCTCAGAAGTATATATAATACATCATTCCCCCACCTACCAAGAACTCATAAACTATTGACAAGTAGGCTCCCAAGACATCATGGAACACAGAATGTGATGAGTGTGCCGAGAAAGGTCAGGACATTACAAAGGTCCAGTGGAGGAGCCCAGCCGGGATGATATAGTGAAGAGATGGGTAGCGCAGGAAGGGGGAAACTTACTTACATGCAGGAAGGAGTGACTTAAAAGAAAGGCGGGTGGGAGTTCAGGAGGCGTCTAGGAAGAACCGAGTGCTGTTGCCTGGCTGGACACTGTGGAGAGGGCGGGGTCAGACCTAAGCAGCCTTACTAGGGAAATGGGCCCTAGGCCAGGGGTTCCAGGAAGCCATTGAGGAATTAAACAGGCCCATGACCTGAATAGGAATGCCTTGACAATTCATTGGATGCCACAAGGGGTCTGGGATCTAACACCCCACAGTGGCACGCCTCAGAGGTATCCTGGGTCCCTGAGACCCACAGGCCCACTTCCCGTACAGCACTGTGAAAAGACTTAGCCAGGCTGGAGATGAAAAGAGTGAGTCAGCGTAGGGAATGGTTGCTGGGGGCCCTGGGGGCCAGTAATACTGCTCTGGGATTGGCCCCTCCCAGGCACCCTTCCCAGACTCCCTTGGCCCCGTGTGGATTTCTAAGCCGCTGCCACTTGGGATTTTCCAGCTTGGACCTAGATCCCAGGAGAGGATTTGGTGATTACTCTCATCCATTAGGCTCCAGTCCTCAAGGCTTCTCTGGCACCCTTTAACCCTTCCCCAATGGTCCCTAGGTCTGGTTCCAGAACCGCAGAGCCAAATGGCGGAAGAGGGAGCGTTATGGGAAGATGCAGGAGGGCCGGAACCCCTTCACCACTGCCTATGACATCTCTGTGCTGCCCCGAACTGACAGCCACCCTCAGGTGAGACCTTTAGTCCCACCCTTCATGAAAGCCCACCCCTGACCCATGGGGTTGCCAGTGAAAACACCCATTCTGGAGTGGGGAGCAGGGAGCTGTAGCATCTGGGGCCTGTGTGATGTGGGCAAATCACTTAACTTCTTCCTCTGCAGAGCAAGGCCACCGCCCACTCTGCTACATACAGAACAGAAAGGAATCAAAGAAGAAAGTGCAGTTCTGATGGTGGGGACATCCTGAATACCAGCCAGTATGGGTGGTAGGCCTTAGGCCTAGTGGAGATTTCTAGAAAGATCTGAGGCTTCAGGGACAATGAGAGAGCCACTAGGATAAAGCAAAGAGCTTCCGGGGCAAGGAGCTCATAGCCCTTCTCTTCTTCTCTTCTCTTTTCAGCTGCAGAATTCCCTATGGCCCAGTCCAGGATCTGGAAGCCCAGGGGGGCCCTGCCTCATGTCTCCAGAGGGTATCCCTTCTCCATGCATGTCTCCATACTCCCACTCCCATGGAAATGTGGCTGGCTTCATGGGCATGCCAGCCTCCCCTGCAGCACACCCTGGCATCTACTCCATCCATGGATTTCCTCCTGCCCTGGGAGGGCACAGCTTTGAGCCTTCTCCAGATGGAGACTACAAGTCCCCAAGCCTAGTCTCGCTCAGGATGAAGCCCAAAGAACCTCCCAGCCTGCTGAACTGGACCACGTGATGGGTTACATGGACACAGACTGAACTGCCCATTCCTCTTCCTGCTCTCGCCTGCTCCTAGCCCGTACCTGCCTGGACACCAAGACAGGAAACCATTCTGCCTCCTTAACCTAGGTGGTTCCAGAAGCTTAAGAGAGAGCTGGGACCCTCAACCTCCTGCAGAAAACAGGCCACAGGGTCTTATCTCTTAAAACAGGTAGAGCTGCCTAGGGAGAAAGGGACTTCAAAGCAGACAGGACTTTTCCTTATAAACTGGGTCTCCTCATTTAAACTGGACTGGAGAAAAGGTGACCAATGCCTCCTGTTTCCTAAAGATTGTTTTTAAGTCCAGGGAGCCCAGGAAGATGGGAGGAGGATGCAGAGAACAGGGAGAAGCTCTGTGGTTCTTAGAGTTGGCCTCCCTTCTGCCTTCATACCAGGGGGCATATGCTCAGTGCCTGGGGCCAACAGGAGCCCAGAAGGTGAAGGTCAGCTTAACCTGAAGGTGGGGTCTCCTCTGCACCACACATCCCTCACTTCTGCCCTGTGCCCAAGACTGGCACAGCATACTGTAACGTCATTTTTCTCAAAGAGGGGAAGAAATTCCACCAAACATTAAATATTTGGATTAGCTTTCATGGGATCAGGCCAGGGCTATGCCATGGAAACCATATTGAAATGTTGATCACAATTTAAAAAAAAAAAAAAAAAGATTTTTCCAGTGCCTGAGCCCCTGAGACCTGGATCCCAATTTTTGTAAAGATACCTTTGTTTTGTTTTAGTGTGCTGCTCAACATAGAATAAACACAGTGGTGTTTTTCATTCTAGATGGCTGTCTATCCCCAGGGTGTGGCCCTCAGTTGCTTTAGGGTTGACTTGTATCTAGGATCTATGCTGGGCCAAGCTGTCCTGTGGGAACAGCAAGAATCCAGGGGCTTATAATAAAAGATGTATCAGTGGCAGAACCTCAAGGTCAATGTGTGCTGTGCCTGGCTCTATCACCTGCATAAGCCTGGTGGCTTTGGTAGGTTCTGAGAGGCTCTAGTGCCCGGCTTATTTGACAGGGAATTTTGGGGGTGGGAATGAGAGTAAGAAAGTTGAGAAAAGCTTGTGGTTGAACTGACCGCGGAGAGAATGGAAAGACAGGGATCTTATGGAGGTTTTGAGTGCCTGTGGGCTGGGACCCCAAGTGCTGGGGGGGTTGGGCAGCTGTCTTCTCCCAGATGCCCCAGAGAGTATGTCTGAGCTGTGGGGCAGAGACGAAAGCCAGAACTCTTTCTTGTGGTTTTCGAGTATTACCCATTCTATCCCTCATCCCCACTTTCTGCCTTATCTCCGGAGCCTGGAAGGCAGGAAAAAAGCAGGCCTGGCCCTCCCACCCTCCCAGTAAACACAACCACATTGCTCAGAAGAATTCCACTTCACTCAGCTCAGCCACCCCCCACCCCATGCCTCATCTTTCAGGCACAGAGAAACCCAAGCATGCAAAGACACATGGGTGCTGCGCTTGTTCCCAAACAGGGAGTAAGTCCGCCATCAGGGTGAGCTTCCTAGCCACGACAATTACCGTGAGGTGTCCACGAAGCCCCATAGAAGAGTGTCTTTCTTCTTTCTTCCTTTCCTAAACCAGTGAGGAAAAAGTGTCTGGAAATTTCTTTCTTTTCTGCCCTGACACTGGCAGAGAGGACTGTCTAGAGCTACTGCTGATGAGCTGCCTAGACATTTACCCACTGGTCAGTAAGGGGATTAGAGCTCAAGTCCCCATCTCTATTTCCAGGGTACTTGCCAATTCACTAGAAGTTTCCTCGCCCAAAGAATGGCCAGTGTTGGCTCTTATGCCCTTCAAAAGCCAGAGAGCTACTCGTAACAGTTGGTTTTCTTGCTGTGGCAAAATACCCAACAAAATCGACTTAAGAAGGGAGCGCTTATACTGGCTCATGGTACAGTTTTTGAAAGCACGGGTCACCGTGCTGGAAGAAGCATGGCGGTGTGGGGCAGCTGGGCTGTCACATTGTGTTCACAGTCAGGAAGCACAAATGAGTGCTGCTGCTCAGCTTGCTTTCCTCATCTTCTGTTTAGGACCCAGCCTGTGGGGTGGTACTGGCCACAGATGCAGAGAGAGGCTGGTTTGTTCTAGAGCCATATGTTGAAGTCCTAGTCTGCACTGGGCATTGTGCTATGTCAGAGACAGCAATAGTCAAGAAACACAGTTTCTGTTCTCCTGGTTTAGAAAGAGAGAAAGTCACAGCAGGACTAAGCGTATCCTCTCCCACTGAGGCCAGACAAGGCAGCCCAGCTAGGGGAAAGGGATTCAGAGGCAGCCAACAGAGTCAGAGCCGTCCCCACTCCAATGGTTAGGGGATTCATATTAAGAATAAACTGCACATCTGCTACATATGTGTAGGGGGCCTAGGCCCAGTGCATGTATACTCTTTGGTTGAGGGATCTGTCTCTGTGAAGTTAGTTTACTCATGGGCCCAGGTTCTTGTTGCTGTGTCTTTGACCCCTCTGGCTCCCACTGTGACTAGACAGTCCAGGGTGAGTTGTTAGGCATGGAGGGTCTCCCCCTCTGAGGAGGGGCAATGAGAGGAGGGGGACACAAGGGTGAGACTGAGTGGAGAGGAGGGAGGGGCTATGATCAGGCTGTAAAGTGATTAAATAATTAATGGAAAAAGACAGAATTTGTTAGAATAATAGAATTTTTAATTTTAAAGTAATGAGTAAGGCTTCTTCTGATGGAGTGCCACAAAAATATAGCTAAAGTGTTCTCTGTGGTGAAAAAAAAGAGAGAGAGAAAGATGGAAGGAAAGATGTAGAGAGATTCTGTGAAGCCCAAACAAAGGAAGGTGAAGTAAGGTCGGGACCAGACAGAAGAAAATAACACTGAGTCCAAGATCAAGGCAACAAGAGTGGTAGATTTTCCAGAGGCCATGGGCATCAGCTGAAGAGGGGCCGTGGGGGAGGGCACAAGGAAGCCAGGCGCTGGCTACTGGCTCCCATCCAGGTGCATCTGCCCACAGCTCATATTTTTCTGTCCAGTGACAACTAAATGAAGAGAAAGCTAACTTTACAACCGCCCACTTCACACATAATGAATACGAATGGGCACCTCAGCGCCTGTCTCATGGGATTATCTATGAGCTAACTGGTCCTCCCACTGACTGGGTCATCCCACCAGCCTGTCCCCTGGCTGGGCCACAGACAGCCCCTCACCTGCTTTCCATTAGCCATTACCCCCCCCCTCCTCCATGCCTTTAAGACACAGCCCCCAGATCTCCAGATACCCTGCCTCCAAGCTCATGCTAGAGGTGACTGGAGTCTCCCAGCTAGATCCTGTAGTTTACCTAGGTCAGGCTGCGGTCCTGCCCACTCCTGGGCCGGGAAACAGAAGTGGCTCCACCCGGAATCCCAACTTCGAGAGTTGCTGAGGCCCCTCTAGAGAGTCACCCACAGATTCAAGCCTTATGCCAGCTGTGGTGGTGCACACCAGCAGGCTATGCTGAAGAGACACAGGTAGGAAGGTCCTATATTCTACATGTAAATCTCGGTTGTGGCAGGCTCTAGGCTTCTACCTCAGCAACAGAGACTGTTTCCCATCAGAGGCATTTAGTCCTCCTTCCCCACCTTCCTCAGCCATCGAGACATCAGCCTGAATTACAACCCAAAGTACAGAGGCTCTGCAGCCCTGGGCAGGAACAGAGCCCAGCCGAGGCAGGACTTGAGTAGACATTTTCCTGACCCAGCTGAGGAAGCAGATACCTTCCCCTCACCCCAGCTTCCTTGGCTCCCTTCCTGCAGCATGACTATATGCTCTTAGTCTCTAGTCCAGGAGAAAGGCATAGACTGGGACTCTGCAGCCCATGGATGGACGTGGCAGACTGTAATATCACTTGGACCTTCAAGAAGCCTCACACAGCACCTGGCCCCAAGCAGAAGACGGAAGGAGGTTCTGCCCTTCAAAGATCTGTATTCTAGGAGCCATAGGGAGTGTATGCAAATTCACAGGTCAGAATTAGAAGGGCATTAGCAACGCCAATATTAGCAACCATTATAATGCTAATGGTTACCTATTTATAGTTGTCCCTTTTCAGCCAGGTGTGAGACTCCATTACCGGTTACCTTAGCCAGCCTTTGCAACAGGGCTATCTATCGTTAAAGCAGCAGTTACAGATAAGCCAGCTGAGGCTTGGAGTCCCATGAAGGCAAGGATATCCAGTGAGCAAAGGCCGAGGCTTGGACTACAGTCAAGGCGAGCCAGGGGTGGTGGTAACACACACCTCTCTCCCAGCACTTGAGAGGCAGTCAGGCTATGACGTTAGTTCCAGGCCACCAGGACCACAAAGTGAGACCCTCTGCATAGTGAGACTCTTTCTCAGAAAAGGGGGAAAAGTCAGAGCTGTCTGACTCTCAAGGGATTGAATCCCCTTTTAGAACAGCAGCCTAAGGCTGACTGTGCCAAGTGTCAAATGAAGATAGCAGCTACTGTCCCACTAAGTAATCAGTTTATTATAGAACAGACAGGAAAGCAGCCTCCAGAGAGATAAACCCAACAGGCCCAGCAGAGACAGCCAGCACAGGAGTCCTCTGAGACCAAGAGAGAAATAAATTGAGGCTCAAGGCTGGACCAAATGGCACAGACCAAGATAATCCCAGTTATTTGAAACGCTGAGGCAGGAGGATTCCAAGGTGAAGGCTGGATTACAACTCAGTTCAAGGCCAGACTGGGTAGACTTACTGAGACCTTGCCTCAAAATAAAAACTAAAGAGTTGCTGGGATGTAGCTTAGTGGTAGTGCTCGCCTCGTGTGTAGAAAGCCCTGGCTTCAACCCCTAATGCGTCAGACAAGCCAAGACCAAAACACAAAAACAGCAGTAACCCAAGTTACTTTGAGGGTACACTCAGGGTAAGCCAACAGTGAAGACAAGACAAAGCCTGGGTGGCCCAGTTAGAGCCTAAAGCAAGGGACATTTGCCATGGATCTTCTGTGCTGTGACCATGTCAGACCCAATACCAAGGAGGCATAGTAAACAAATGAACAACTGGGAGCCGTGGCAATGAGTGCCAAGGGATGGCAATGATTAACACGGGTGGGGGTGGGGAGCACATGGGTACTGCGTTTGAATCCTGGCTCTATCCCTTATTTTTGTATGCCCTTGGGCAAATTCTTTACCCCTTCTGTGCCAGTTTGTGCATCTGCAAAACAGGGACTGTGGTGGCATTTGCTTTTCATGGTGTATTAGCTACTTTTCTTGTTGCTGTGGCAACATACCTGGCAGGAGCAACTTAAAGAAGGGTTTGCTTGGCTCATAGTTTTAGGGGATACAGCCATCATGGTGAAAGGAATGCGAGGCGGCTGGTTGATTTTTGTCCGTTTTCTGTGAACAGACAAGTGCCAGTGCTCAGTCCACCTTCTCCCTTCTTCTTTTATAAATAAAAGGAGAGTCTGGGGAGGTCTACAAAGAGGAGCAGGGGAGGTCAAAGCCTCTGGCTAAGCAGTTTCAGAGAGCTAGACGCACGGTGGAAAGAGAACGTGAAGCTCGCCTTCCACAGATAGATCTCTCAGCATCTGTGCTTCCATCAGTCCAGGCAGGCGGCACTAGATCCACCCTGCAGACCAGAATGGTGGGACTTCTCTGCCCTACGCAAGTTACTTTGGGGAAAAGGGCCAGTCAGAAGGACTTCCCATCCATGATGCTCTGTG